ACGGGCGGGGCGGGTGGGGCGCGCGGGCATCACGTGCCCATGGCGCAGTGCTGCAGCACCAGAAACTCCTAGAACCGGCGCCACCATGACAATGCACAAAGGTGAAGAGCCCGGGTCCAGCTCCCCGCAGAAGGACGTGAGGAGGAGGAGGAAGAGAGCCGACGGGACAGAGGAGGCCTGTGAGGCGGGCCCACCCCCTCAGGCAGAGCCCCTGTCCATCGGGCAGCTGCCCTGGGGTCCCCACTGCCCAAGAAGGGGGCCACCCTCCTCAAGAAAACGATCCTCAGCTCCACCGCAGGTGGCCCCAGGGAGCAGCGCGGAAGGGTCGTCTGACCCTAGAAAAACGCCTGTCATTCGGGACCAGGGAGAACAGCTCAAAACATTGACGCTGTTTTCCAAGCTCCCTGAACCACAGGCCACCATGGGCTGCAGCCCTGCCCTGCCCTGCTCTAAAATCCCGGGTCGCGGTGCCCGAGGAGGCACCTGGCGCTCTCCACCCCGAGACCTGGCCGCGCCGCCTCCTCTGCCCTCCCTGAAAATGACCCCAGGCCCCGGGATCCACTCAGACCCACAAGCTGCTTCTGCCGCTTGCTTTGGTGTTGACAGAACATTCCGGCCACTCTGTGAGAGCTCCATCTCCTGGCTCCTGGCACCCTGAGTCATCTTCCACAGAGGAAAAAAACAACAAGCAGCCGTCACCAGGGCCCGCTGCCCTGCCGTCGACAGACGACTCACTGCTGCCGTCAGTCTCTGCTCGGCAGCCCCGGAATCGGTGACCAGGGGCGTCAGCGCACCCAGCACCCATCCCACGGGACTCGAGTCAGGAAGCACAGCCACTGCTGAGATTCCGAAAGCAGGGAGGCGAAGCTGGCATCAAAAGGCTCCCGGAAGGCTCACCGCTTAACCCTCACTCTGCCACCTGCAGTCCTCAAGCTCCAGCCGCTGCCCCCCGCTGCAGGGCTGGAGGGTCCTCTCCCGCCCAGTGACACTGGAGGACACACTTCCCTCCCGGCTCTGCTCACGTCACCTGCCCTGCAGGGCCAGAGGAGCCCACTGGGCTGGCGCGGCAGTAGGGACTTCTGTGTCACGGGCCATGGCTACACCTACAGACAGGACCCTACGTCTCGTCTGACATCAGCCGGCTCAAGATCAGACCTCAGCGTGTCCAAGCCTCAACCACCAGGGCTCACCCTCCTGTGAAGACAGCGTCACCACCCCACTTCTGCCTTTTCTTCCAGGAGGCAAGCAGGCGGGATAACCGGGGCTTGCTAATCTGCCAATTTCGGTCTCATACACACACACCCACACCCACACCCACACATCCATCATCGGAGGGAACCTGACCACGAAGTAAAGGAGAAAGTTAACAAGGCCGGTGTGGGACAGCCACGGAACCCAGACCATGGACCCAAGAAGATCGGCCACCCAATTCCCACACGGCATTTGGGACTTACAACATTCCTTAAATAGCCACATTTTCGAGATCCGCCTCCGAACAGGCATCTGGCAAACACCGAGGACTTGGAAAGGAAAAATGTAAAGGCTTTGGAAGACCAGGGCTCTGACCATCCCCAGACCACCTGCCAGCAAAGGGGCTCCTCTTGCAAAGTCAGAGTAAAATTAAGGAAATAACTGCCCCCAAAGAGCCTAACGTGGTAAAGAGAAGGCACGCATAGGCGTTTGTATTCTGCCTTTCCCCAGCCCCCTCTTGGAGTTCAGACTCTTAATAGGTGACACAAGACCTCTTGTAGGGAACCATAACACAATAAAAGTACCATTAAAATCAGGGCGCAGTGTATGGGGGTTTGATGGAAACAGCAGGAGCAGTAGAGGACTGCTATGGCCAGGGTGACGAGGAGAGGTCCGTGGAGGAGGTGGGTCTGCCACAGGTAGATGTGGTGGAGGACGGGCGTGGGAAATACCACTGGTAGAAACAGGGAGACAGGAGAAGCAAGAAAACATGAGTGGTCTGGCTGTGCTGGAGTGTCTGGGCCACCTAGGGAAACCGAGAGACGTGAGAGTACACAGGAGAGCCAAGGCCGGTTCCAGACAGCCCGGAGCATCGTGCTACAGAGAAGGAATTCCATTCTGGGAACAACGAGAAACCATTTTAAATCTGTGAGCAAGACAGACAAGATGGCCGCTGCACGCAGAAGGGCCGGAGGGGAGAGGGACGGCAGCAGGGAGTCTGCCTGGAGGACGGCAGCCGGAACCGTGCCACTAAGGGGGCATGGAGGGGGCACGGGGAAGAAAGAGGGCAAAGGCAGGGCCATCTGAACAGGTCCTGCAGGCTGCCGTGGCCCTTGTCCCTGCCCCATGGGGAGGCTGTGGAGACAGTGGCTCTCTGGGTGCACACACCACGTCTTCCACGTCCAGGGTCAGCCAGGTGGGTCTCTGCTTCCACTGCCTCGAACACTCAGCGCTTCCCCCATTGTCTCTGCCTCTCCAGAAGCCCAATGCCCACGATCTCCGGAGCTGGGGCCCTGGGCCAGGGACCCTCACCCAGGATGGGTACGTCTGCCCCTGAGGCCACCTCACTGCGGCAGCCACCACTGTGCC